GGGGTTGTTTGTATCATCATGACATGAAAAAATTCTCTTTAATTCCAGATAAAAGGTGTATCCGGAATCCACAAAACCAACAAAACCAAGGAAATCAGGAGGTGATGATTCCACTAAGGACGAATGATAATGAGGATGCAGATTCTGGTGGTGGTGCTGAAATTTAGACTCATTAGGATATAGCTTTGTGATGGTGATGCAGAACATGGAAAAATCTATTCATAATGGAGATATAACTAAATTGAATTTATTTCTTGTTATTATCTGGTCATACATTTCCATCTGTTTTATTACTTGCTAAATCCTTTTCTCATCATCATGACAGGAAAAAACATTCTCTTTGATTCCAGATAATAGGTGTATCCAGAATCAACAAAACCAACATAACCAAGGAAATTAGGAGTGGAGGTTCTGTATATAATTTACAGGTGAGGTCCTGCATTTGCACCATCATTTGGATTTTGGAATAAGTGTAAGTATCATCGTCATCCTCATCACCATCGGTGCTGTTACATTATGTGAGTGATCTAAGTTCATGCTCTATTGTAATTGTTGTTTTATATATAAATACTGCATATCAGCTTTTGTTTTTCTGGATTCAAAGAAATTAAAAAGTGTTAGTTACACACAACAAAATAAAAATGAAAGAAATACATTGCCAACAATACCTGGAGCACTACACTGCGGTTTTGTTTTTTATAATGACTGAAACATTTCTCTTTAATTCTAGGTTATCAACTCATCCGGCAGCGAGAAGGAAAAGGGGTCGTGGAGATGGTTATGCTAATTCAAGATGTTCTTGCTGCAGACAGCGTGATTAATGAGGACTGCACTGCTGCTGCTAGTGCCGATACAGAGACAGAAGTAAAACTGTTAAAAGCTGAAAATGGAGATGATCAGAAAGTGACAAAGAAAAATCAGAGTCAGCAGCAGTGGTTGGAAGAGTACTGAAAATCTTTACTCCCACAAAAAATGAATTAAAATGACCAATTGAGAATCCTGGTTAATAAATTACTTAAAGTACAAGTTACTTTTCATTTTAATATTTTATGGCGTGATTATAACTGTATTATCATGTCTGATTAAAGTCACCAGATGTAACTGTTGAGCAGGCTGAATGAATGTAAGTAATAAACAGTTACTGTGATGATCAGTTTGTATTGAAAGGAAGATTTTATGTAGTTGCTGTCAGTTTTTGTGTCAATATTGATTATAAATTGATTCCAATGTGGCTGTATTGCTATCATCATAACCATTGCATTGCAAGTCACATTTCAGTTAGAGAATTTCCAAATGTTATTTTCACTTAATTTGATTCTATAGAACTCCTCCTTGTACCTCCCAAACTGTAAATAAAGAAGCCAGAACAGTTACCAGAGTTTACATCTGTTTAACACGCTTCACACACCAGTAGCCAGTTAAATATAAAGCAGTTTATCAGAGTCGACAAAGTCACAGCTTGGACATGTGTTTGGCTGCTAAACAATTATTATATTCTTTCTGTACATTAAGGTTGACCCAAAATATAAGGCTTATAAATGCCTTATAATAAAACTTGTCAAAGCAATTTGACTCACCCATCTCAGGAGGTTCAGTCTGCAAAACCTTGAATGAAACCTGCCCGGAGTGAAGAAACAGTGAACACTACCAGAAGAATTTCATCATCATATGATATTATATGTCAGAGGACAAAATACAATTAAATCCTTCGTTTACAAATGGTTATCTGCCTTCAAAATTAAAAAATGAAACCACTTGAAATGCTTTAACATCTTCCACTGTACCCCTCCCTATCTTTAGGGGGAGACAGCAGCTCAGCACTGTGTGTGTTTTTATAGTCACATCTGTTATAAACATATGTTTTGTCCAGGCGCCTACTGAGATTTTTTAAAGATAACAGTGTATAGGGCTTATAACATTACAATGAAAGTATATAATGGCCATTGCCACGCTCTCCTGAGTTTTTGCAGCAGTTTTTGGGTTTATTACCATTTTTTCCACACAGATTTGGTGCACAGTCTAGCTGTCTTTGACCACTCTAAAACGGATACAAATAGTCAAAATCCCTTCGAAATACCACGTTAAGGCTCCAAGACCTAGAGGAACACCATAAGAAAAGTTGGCATTAGAACCTTTTGAATGAATTTTCAGCAATTTGCTTCTGATTTTATTTACTGTACTGTTTTAGTGATTTAATATATATTTTTGTATCTAAATGAAGAAGACATTTAAAAGATGTCAACAGTGTAGTTTAGGAGTTTGTCTTAGAAACTGACAAATTCAGTAAAATCACTTTTAGTCCTTTAAGGCAAAACAGAGTAACACATCCAGAACAGTGAGACCACAAAGATTATGAGCAGCTTTGATGTTTTATTCATCATTAACAGTGACATAATGTAACATGTTACATAAAGATAAATTACATAAAGATACACTACAAGTGCATAATAATTTAACAACATAAACCTAGGGCTTGAGAGGAATAAAAAAGAAGTATCAATTATTATGCAAATAAATACAAGGGGTTGCTTTCACTTTATTTTCTTTTTTTTAAAGTTTGCTTTTTCTTCTTGTTCTTGTGTTAGTCTTGTTTTTGTGCTACACATAGCTCACACGCTGCTTCTGCTTTCCCAGACGGAGGAATATAGACAGTGATGATGATGAAGGATGATGGTGATGATGATGATGATGATGAAGACCCCTGTGAGGAATATAAACAGTGATGGCGATAACACTGGAAAGTTCCCGTGGCAGATAACATGGACGACGTCGCCAGGTCCCCTCCTTTCTTTCCTGCCGGTTCGCGGTGGTTCAAGTTTGTTTTCCATGCTGCACTGCCGATGAAAGAGTTGAAACCTCCTCTTCTTCATCCCTCCGATGTTAACCCCCGCTCTGCAGCTCCGCCGATCTCCTTCCTCACTTCCTCCGGTATAGGATGCTCCCGGCAGGATGCTTGGCCGCCTGCCTCAGGGCGACCATCTGTGCGGTGTAATACACTGAGACACCCCGACTGCGAAAACACGTGAAACTCACCAACAATGATGACGGAGCTGGGCCAAATTCCAGAAGGCAAACCATAAGAGTGCCACTCAATATTCCCAGAATTGAAATTTTTCCCAAATCAGGTTTTCGTAAGCAGACCTCTCTTTGGTTCACTCTTTTCACCTGGCAGTTCTTTTAAGATGATTACATTAGACAGATACATGTGGCCTGAAGCCCTGTTCAAACGAAATGTAGTTAGCTATGTTATGTCTTACATCTTTCAGTCAACAAAATGGTTATTCCAGTCCAGAAAGCCAGCAGTAAGGAAGAAATCCGAGAATGTCCGTTATCAATCTCTGACCTTGTGCCTGTTCCCTCTCCAAATCAAATTACTTGGCTTCATATGTTTTTCAGTGATTAAGTCTATATATTGAAGATTTTGCTGTTTACTGTTTCAACGCATCACCGCTGATTTGAACTGAACACAGATACCTTCAGTCCATTAGCGGAAGTTGTTTTCCTGAGATTCATTTGAGCTTTGACCTGTGGTTTGCAGCGGTCTGGTGACAGTGGGTGCGTGATTTTCTAGGCTTGACATTTGCCTACTTTTTTTGAAAGGTCTGCGAGAAATATAGAATGAGTCAGATATCGGTGGTTGCTCTGTGCTCAGAAGAGGGGAAATATAGGTGCGTGGTTGTCTTGTTTCGCTGTTACATTACTCCGGGCCAGCCCTGTAACAGCGATAGGCTTCCAACCACATGCTGTGCGAAGAAAAGTTCATCAAAGTGACGATTGTGTCCCCCCAAGAATGTTCTGTTGTATCTGTGGTATACGCTTCTCCTAATGGTAAGTTTTGACAGAAATACACTCGAAGTTTGATGTTAGTTTTTACTAGTGGCAGACAACAAGCGAATAGAATGCTTTGATTTTTTCGCCCTGTTTTTTTTTTGACCATGTGTCTGATGTATACAGTTGGAGCTCCGATTGTCAACACTTCGACCGGTGACAATCAAACGTGCCCTCCCTGTACCCAGACGAACGTCGCTAGCCCAATTGACTGTTAAGACAC